CTCCAACCATAGGCAGGGAACAGATGTTCCTTTTTCTCTCTCTCCCTGTCTTTTTTTTTTTTTTGTGGAACTGGGGATTGAACTCAGTGCCTTGCACTTGCCAGGCAAGTGCTTATTCTACTGAGCTGTCTTCCTGGCCCAGGAACAGATGTTTCTGTTAGGTAGTCCTCTACTACTCCATCACTCAGCCTTTGTTCTTATGTCCCCTTATCAGTATGTTCTGCGTTCCCATGCATTTGGGTTTGCCTGGGTCAGCCTCTAATTGCCCTTGATTTGCCAGTCCTTCGATGCTTGTCTCCCTGATACCCTCCTCTGAACACTTCCCTTGGCTTCTCCCCTCTTACCTCTCACTTCTGTCTCTGTGTTTCACAGCTTGGTACCCACCTGTGCCTCCCGGAAGGTGTGGACTATGCACGTCTTCTGGGCTGAACAGCATTCCCAGATTTATATGATGCAGTGCTAACCCCCAGCACCTCAGAATGTGATGATGTTTGGAGACAGGGTAATTTTTTAGAATGTATTTGTACAGGGTCTATGGGGTCTCACTACACAGATTGGACTTGTATTGATCCTTCCTGTTTTCAGCCTCCCAAGTGCTGGGATTACAGGTGTGCACCACCACAGCCAGTCTTCCTGACTCCATTCTCGAGTGGGTCCTCTGTCTCTCTCTAGTAAGTCCTTCTTCTGCCTCTTTTACTGATGCTTCCTGAAAATTGTTTTGCTGTGACCAGAGTCAGTGCACCTGCATGCTTGTTTTATAGGGTGGGTTAAGTTCCTTATCTCAGACCCAGCCCATGACTGAAACAGCTCTGCACACATCTGGGGCTTAGGCCAGTGGCTGCCACAGCAGTTCTGCTGTTTACGCCTTGGTCTTCAGAACTCTGTCATGGCTGTCCCAGCAGACTCACTGGGCTAAGCCTCGTGGTGGTGGGGCTTCCCAAGGGTCCAGGAAAGGGTCTCAGGGAACACTTCAGGAACTGAACTCAAACTGTCCGCGAGATGATGTTCTCAGCCCAGAAAGTTGACCAGCAGAAGGTGAACATTTTCCAGCCAAAAAGGCTTAGAAGAAAAAGGAGTTTTCTACCAATGTCATTAAAGTAGACTATGGCCTTTCATTACAGACAATACCTACATGGAGATTCTTGCCTCACTGAACATGAGCTTCAAGCAAAGACACTGTCCATGAGGACGGAGGGTACTGCTGACTGTGTACCTTGGCTCTCCGTGTCCTTGGGTGCCTGGGGAAGGCAGCTCCGATGATCCAAGCCTCCATCTCACATCTGTGTGAGGCCCGTGCTGGCCCCACCCCACTGAACATTCGGTAGAGGGGGCTGTGTTGGTCTTGGTTCCATCAAATTATTGCAAACACAGATGCACCTTCTTCCAAGTCAAAGTTGCTTCCAAAGAAAGATAGCCTCTTTCACAAATGGTGCTGGAAAATTGATTCTCTACATGCTGAAAACTAAAACTTGACC